AAATATGATAACATAAAAATGTTTTCCAAAAAGCCTGGCGGAGACTGATGGTGTTTTTTGGAGCGAATGCATAGACCTAGGGATCATTCCTTACATAATGAGCAACCCAGAGATTGGATCATGCATATATCATGCTGAAGGAAAATCTGCGGACGACTCAAATTTCGCAGCATATATTCTCGACCACAAACTGAAGAACCTATAAACGCCTTAACCAACTACATCCGCAAAATCAGAGTTCATAATGATCACACACACTTCTCAATATACTATAAACACTATCCCAGTCAGTTAGTCTTACTGGTCTGCTGCACTACATTTGATTAGTTCATTAATGAGCTATTAGCATACTGTTCTTGTGTGTAAGCCAGTTGTGACCTGAAGCATTTTCTTGGATCAAACCACTGATACTGCATTAGACAAATGTTTGGCTGGAACTACTTTTTGACAGTCTGAAATGATCAGGACGCAGACAATACTGTTTCAGACTGTGATGTGTTGGAATATGGTGAAGGGGGGGCATAAAGAAGAGGTTATTAAGCACGCTAATCCACTGAGGCACTGTTCTGAAACACAGTAGGCTTCACCTGCACTGAACTATTCCCAACCCATGCTGTTTCTGAGCATGCCAAACTGGCTTCATGGTAATTAGTGTCTGTCAAGGTCCGGGGCTTGCTAGAGATGACAGTGGCACGGTTTATCAGCCAGAAACACAGTGATCAAAGGGTTAGAACGCTCTGGCTTACTGCTAATCAGATGGACTCCGCATGCCTCTTGCACAGTATTATGGAAGGAAAGGTGCAGTCCAACATAAACATATTTTACTAACACAAAAGTCCAGGAGACTATGCCTCATCAAGGAAGCTTAAGCACATCAAGAGTATGACATTATAAATCAGACGGCTGATAGGACGTGGCAACAGCAGAACTATGTTGACAGATGACTGTGATGCAGATTACAGGTGGGATGAAAAGGCTCTCCCACACAATGCAACTTAAGTGTTGTCATGATGGATGTGGAAAACTGCTATGTAAACACATGAAAATGAATGGTCAGGGTTATCTCAAGGGCTTCATCGGCATAAAACTGACACGCAGAAATCACAAAGCAGGCAGCCCATCCATCTGCCAAACATATGAGCGTCCGCCGGCGAGCATCCAGCTAGGAGGACATAACAACATAAAAGCCGAACGTGCATTTCAGGCCTCGCATTCACTGCCCTGCGTTCTCACTCTGAGAGGCACACTGGCAGATGTCAGTAGCTTTCACACATTTCTGGCTGGCTTCATCCACCAGCCTCCTTCCTTCCTCCAGCCTGCGTCACCTCTGCTCTGACATCACATGTGACATCAGGCAGGACCTCCGAGGGGATCCCTGTAGCCGGGCAAACATCAGATGACTTTCAAAGGCTTCGGCTATAGCTACCCAATGGCAGTAAAAACTCGTTTTTTTCTTGATGAGCTTGGCCTAGAAATAAATCTGAAGACAGACAGAGAATAGACAGAGAGGGGAGGACTGTCAAACCTGCTAAAACAACTAGAGCACACACACACGCACACACACATACGATTACTGGAAAGGGAAAGTCTAGCCCCGGGGTAACCAGACTCACTGCAACACCAGGAAGTCATCCCAGCCCACACTTATCGCCGGACCACTCCTGAAAGTTGAACTGATATGACTCATTTCACGGCCGTGGAGGGCCCCTCCAGTTTCGCTGACCAACCCTTTCCTCCGCTGCTGGAAGGAATTAATGAGCTGCTTCCCTTCTTAATACGCTCCCTGTCCCTCCATACCCTGCCCCCCCCTCTGGGCATCTAGAAGGGCCTTGTGTTCACACACCATCCCAGTCTCAAGGATGTGTGAAAGACCTACCACATAACACACATGCGCCCACGCACACACATTTAAGATTTCTTACCTTTTCCTGTGAAAATGCACATCACCCGGTGATGGTGTGGGCGTGAGTGTTTTGCAGTATTTTATCTTTTTAACCCGTCGGCTGCTGTTGTCTACAAATTCTGCACACTGTCTTGAAAATGCTTCTTTACTGACATTTACCAACAGCTTTTGATGCAAGCTCACTGAGCTGTGAAAGGTCTTGACAAGAAGGAACAGATCACTCCTGGGCAATGTTAACAGTTCTTCCATAAATACTATAAGCAACACTACCTAAAATAATCAGGCCTGAGGCCATGACAGAGCAAATAGGGGTGAGCTGATCAAATCTGGTGGGAATAAAAGCTACACAAACAGCCACAGTTGTGATGATGGTACTCCATGTGTTCACTGCAGCAGCATTGTAAGTGATAAAATCTTGAACTTGAACAGATCCGGTGACATCTTGGCTTTGACAATCTGGCCTCTAGAGGTCCCTACGTGACAGTAACAATTTATGTGCAAGACCTTCTAAAATTAAAGCCAGCAGGCAATTGCTAACACTGTGACATAATTTGAGGTATGAGTAAAGAGCACAGCGGCAGTGTTTTACCCATCCAGTCTTGTAGCCTATTAAATATTACGACACTGTAAAAACCTTTTAAGTCCTGCGTTCAATATTAAAAAGCAAATCTCAAGCACAACATTATTTACCAATTTCAGCAAACTGACAGCAGGGTGGCTGTTTGGGCTGTGTGGTGATGCGAGGCAGTGAGGCGGTGCGTGCAGGAGGCTGCACGGGGGGAAGGAGAAGAGAGGTCAAGCAGCAGCCATCATCATGCAAACAGCAGGTGTGACAGAGTGACAACATGCAAACATCAAAGCAGCCGAAACTTGGCATACCATTTGCCAAGGGCTATTTGCAGCTCATTTCCATCGCCATTTGGTGTTCCTACGCGCCCGAGCAGAACCGAGGGAGCTACACAGCACCGGACCCCAGTGTTGTCATCATGTCCTTATGAAATGATTGACAGGCTCGGCGTGATGCTAGCCCCGCTGGTTCCGATGCAGGTTGCTGCCGTAGCATACTAGCCTAGCCCCAGTGCGCGCAGTCCACAGATGCGGAGGGGGGATAACCAAGCCAAATTCCGTTAAAACATCTGTCCGTTTAAGGTTTCCGTACAGTAATGACTATATGCATACCTGTCTGGAGAGTTAACACCTTACACGGATCAGTGGAGCTCCTTGGTTAAATTCGGCGGATGCATGACCCATTACACAGACTGTATTTCAATGATACCTCTGTTTTATAACTCCAGCTGCAACTGTCGCCCAACACAGCACAGTGTGGATTTAATACCACTGGGGAGATTTAAGGCAAAGCAATTCTACAAGTTAAAATTGAATATAATGGTTGTTTGGAGTGACACACATTGCCCACAGAATACAAGCCATGCTCGCAGTATTTCGCACAAGTCCTGAATTAGTGTCCCCCTCGATATACATCTCTGCTCGTGAGCTAGGACATAAAAAAAACTGCGTAATTTGGACGGAGTTTGGCCTCTCTTCCACAGCGGAGGGAACGGCACATAACGGGGCTAAAGCTAGCCGGGCTAGCTCCATCAGCAATCTTTAACCTTCAGCTGAGAGGAGCGCGTCCGCAAACAGTGGCAGGGGCCACCGCACACGCTTCAAGTTACAGAATAAAGACCGCCATCCTCCCACTCCCTTCACCTTCTAACGTCGCGTCCTGAAAGTGCCACAGTATTGTCCTAAATCCTCTAATCCCGGCAGAGGAGGCAGGGACAGCCCGGACAGGAGAGCGCCGAGGTAGCTGCAAGTTGAGGGACCGCTGGAAATGTTGAACGCAGAGCAGATGCGACTGTCCACCTCTGTCTGCTCCCCCTCGCAGCCGCTCACAGCCTCCTCTGCCCACCGCATGTGTCGTGAAATCTAAAAACACAAAGTCCAACGAATGCCTGAGTTAAAGGCGGTGTGTCGGTCGACCGGGAGCCACTCTTTACCTGTGAAATGCGTCGTCGCGTTGCCGCCTAGTCCCCAGCGCTCATCCCCGCCGCTGCTCTGGACGGACTGAGCTGGGATCTGCTGAGGGAACAGCCCCTCTACAGCACAGCACAGCACAGCACTGAGGAGACATCCCTCTTCTCCAGCGGGGAGGCAGCTGGATGCTGCTCAGCGATAAGGTCACTTCACACTCAGCATTTCAAGAGAAAGTAATCAAACTCATGCAGTCTATCTATCTGACTTGTCTTCATCAGACTGCAGAAACTCAATTCTTCATGTAATTACCATACTGTAATTACTATGATAATCAGAATGATTGATGTCAGCCTATAGTGTGTGTAAGCTGACCTTCACCTCCACACATCCCTAATCCTACCTGTCTTCATGTTGTGTGCTGTATATGAATATACAGGCTAGACCAGGGGTGCCCAAAGGTTTTCCCTTGGGGGGCTAAAACTGAAACTTAAGGGTGGGCCTTGGGCTTATAGCTAATATTGTATTGTTAAGATGCAAAATGGAACCAGGATCCCAAGTTCCCTTAATTGACAGACCTCCTGCGCAGTGTCACTCTGCCTGCTGTGCTCAGATTATGAAAAATAATTAATAATTAGGACCTAAAAAAAAAAAAGAGCATTTTACCTCACAAAAAATAAAACAGCACAAACAGTTATTTATGTTGTATATATTTTTTAAATTAATAAAAAAAAATGTTTCAGAAACATCTGGCGGGCCAATTTGAACCTTATGGCAGGCCAGCTTTGGGCAACCCTGGGCTAGAATATACATGATTCTGTATTATAACACCCTCCGAATTTTGCTGTTTTTCTGTTAAAAATAATCAGTCGATTAATCGATCAGTCGATAAGCTAAAAAATTATTTGAGATTGGTCCATTTTCAAGCAAAGATTCTATCAATTCTGTGGTTCCAGGTGTTTGTTTTTTGTTTACTTTGTTAGTGTTGGACAAATCAACATTTGCTGTATGGCTGTAGCAAGAATCCCACAATAAGATGTGTATCACAATACAGAGGTTACGATTCAATATATTGTGATACTGTAAGCAAGTCGATATATTGCAATTTGTGTTTTTAAATCAAATTTTAGGAAAACTGTAGTAATATGGAGAACACAGCCACCCCTCTCTCTCTTATTCAAATATAGGAACCACTGGGGCTCTAACTAAGAGCAAAGAAGAGACAGCTCCTCCACTCAACGCCCACACGGTTCCCTCCCATCTTCTCGCCTGAACTCCTCCATCCATCCATCCATCCATCCATCCACAAACCTGATTTCTCCACCACTCTCCCTCACTTCATCCCTCACCCCTCCTCCCAAGACCCCCATTCATCCCTCGACCCCCAACCCCTCACCCTACATCTCTTCATCCCTCCTACAGTTTATTATATTGGTCCACCATTATCCATTATATTCAATAAACCATTCCATGTCCTCACTGACATGGTCTTTGTTAGTGAATCATTAGTTGCAGCTCTAAACAATGAAAGTGAAAATGAACTCTTACACATGTGTCTGCTAAAAATGACTTCATGCAGGCTTTGTTATTATAAAAAAATATTTACAGCAGTTAGTGAAACTTTGGTCCACTGTTTTGTTTTGGTTCTCCTGTACAGTTTGCCAAAGCCTACTTTACGCCCGTCTGGCTCCAGGCCTTCGGAGCTGAAAGTTGTACACCCTTTCCACCTCTTTAAAAGAACAGAAGACCCTAAAACCTCCATAATATTGACACAGATGTTGCATATAACTGAAAACTAAGGGAGGCTCGTAGGCTCCTGTTGGACCTGGCTGTTGTATTCCCACAGTGGGAATCATTTCAGTGGACGGCAGTATCTGACCACTGAAATAGATCCCCTGATTCATGTGCAGCAGCCGCTTCGCCTGTCCACTCACTGCTGGTAATGTGTCCCCTTGGCAATAGTTGCAGCAATAATGATCATGTTTACATTCAGTCAGCCTAACTTTGAATTACCTACTCGATCATTATCTCCTTTCCTGTAAAGCTAGCCATTGTTGCAGTTGTTGACTTTACATATCCTGTGGCCACTAGTATAAGGAGAAAAACATCCATAATGACTTGATAGTCAGTGGTGTTGTAGTTTTCTGTGGCGCTTGCACACAGTTTGTCCAACGGAGTGAAATATTTAGACAGCAGAGGTTAGGACTTTGGACTGTGTGGCATTTAAAGACAATGAGAACCTGAGAAAAGTGAGAGGAACCTGACAAGAACAATGGGAGTGATATAAGATACCATAACTGCTGTGTTACAGTAGTTTGGAAAAGGCATTTCATTTAATTTGGCCTGTGACTTAACTGGCATCTGCTCAGTATCAGTGAAGGTCAACACTTCTGCTGCTCCCTGTGTTCATAGAGTGCCTGTGCTGCACTGCACCCAACAGTCTTGCTGTGTCTGTTTTCAATTGTGCCGTACATATGCAGCTCATATGCAACGCACTGAAATGTGGTGCAGAGACGCTGATGTCACCGCTCCGTTTGCCAGTTGCGGTTTTGAGTTTGAGCGTTTGTGAGCTGGGTGAGCAGCGCTGCCCGCTGTGGGCTGCTGCAGTTGCCGCTCCCCAATTCCCCAGAACTCTGGTAACATCTTGACTCTGTAGGTGAGTGTGTGTGTGGGTGGATGGGGTGGGTTGGGGGTGGGGGGTATGTGGATGCTCTCTGGCTGCTTTCTATAGTGAGCCAATACCAACCTGCGAGAAAACGTTAATGAATTCAGAATCTTAATATATGCCACATTCGATGGCAGTAGCTGCGAGTTCTCTACTCTCTCTATTATTTTTATTCTCTCTATATCTCTTAAGTTTTTTTATGTCTACATTTCGTATATCTATATATAAATATATATAACTAAATTTATAACATCCGACCACACCTTTGCATATATACTATATAAGCTGACAATCGTCCTTCCAGGCTCCTCGTGGCATTTTGTGACAAGCTAACCTCCTCTGGCGTGCGAGTTAAAGTTTTTTTTATCTACAATGAAGATTCTACCACCTCATATGCGGTTGGCGGGTGAAAAATTGAATTGATGAGGGACCGCTTGGTTGATGCGTCACCGGGGGGTTTGTGTGTTAGCGTACCATGGGCCAGGCGGCGGTCTCTCTTTGGCTCTCTCTAGGGGCAGAGGGTTTTGGAGGCTTATTACCGGGGTTTTTTGCCTTCAGCTGTTTCTTCTTGCTGCTGTGTGCCGTATCTGGAGTGGCCTCTATTCTCTCTCTCTCTTATGGGCAAAAAGTTTACACAAGTATGAGTATGATTTGTATTGAGTTAAATGTATTCTTGACAGTAGCAATTTTTATCTATAATATTTATAAAAAAGGGGGATATATTGCAGTGTTATATATATTGAAAGACATGCCCAGAAAAGGTATCCGCGAAAGCCGAGACGGCACCCGCCAAGGCGGCGGTACGTCGCGGAAACAAACAAACGAGAAAGCGAGGAGAAGAGAAGCCGGACAGAGGGAGGCGGAGCTGAAGCGAAGCCACCCGTGCCCGGAGCGATGAGAGGAAGGGCGGGGAAGGAATCGCGGCAGGGCGTCGAACGCGAAGCTGGCAGGGAGCCAGGCAGCGCCCCCGCCCAGGGCCCCACCCCCCGGAAGCGTCTTCGGCGCGGAGGACCGCCGCGGGATGGGCGCGGAGTCCTGAGGGAGGAAGGGAAAAGGAGACCAGAAAATGAGTGCGGTTAACAGAAAGTGGAAGACGGAGGCCCAGGGACGACTTGCACACGCGAAGAGCAGAAGGGCTGCGGGAAGAGAGCGAGGAAACGATGGAACAAAACAAGAGCACGGGCAAGCACAGAGGATGGGAGCGGAACAAAAGAGAGGGGGCGAAAAACAGGCCAGAGCCGGAAGAGAGAAGAGCCACGGCGGGGAAAACAGGCAGCCGCAGGGAGAGGGGGGAGAGCCAGACAGCCAGTAGAAAGGGAAAGGGGGAAAAGGTACGGGGGAGGCGAAGAAGAAGCAGCAAAGGAAAGGAGGAAAGCGGGAAAAAACCGGGAAGAAGGGGAAGGCCAACCGCCAGGGAGCAAAAATGCCCAAGACAGAAAAAAGGGAAAAGAAAACAGAGTACCAGCAACGCAGCTGGCCCAACGAACGACACACCCGCGGAAAAGACGAGCACGCGAGCAGAAGCCAGGAGCGAGCGGAGGAGGGAGAATGACCCCACTGAGGGGAGCCACAGCAAAAGGGCCCGGGAAGAGGCGGGCGGCAGGAGCCGGAAAGAGAGCGCAGGGAAGGCGCGGGAAGGCGGGAAGGGAGCAAGCCGAAGGGAGCGAGCCGGGCCCACCGGGAAAGCGGTGGCAGAAGCCCAACAGGCAGACCAGCAGGGGCACGGGCACCGGCAAACCCACCGCCGCGGAGCGACGAAGGACGGCTACGGGCAGCCAGAAGCGGGCCGCAGCCAGGGGGGAGCCGCGGCAAACAGAAGAACGGTGGAGAAAAAAAGGGAAGGAGCACGGAAGCAGGAAACCAGGTCCAGGGACGGAGGGAAAGAGGAAGAGCACCGTGGCGGGCGCGCCCGCGCAAAGACAAGCCAAGAACGGAGAGCGTGCGAGCCGTGAGCGAGCGGAGGGCAAAAGGAGGCGCTGGCAGACAATGAAAGAAGGACGAACGGCGCGGCGGGAAAAAGAACGCGCAGGGGGCCAGGACCAAAATGGGGCAGGGCCCCAGCAGAAGCCAGCGGCCAGACCAGAAGGAGGAGGAGGTGGACGCAAGAGGAGCCAGGGGCACTGCATGTCCCTGAACTGAGCGCACGAGCCACAGAAGCGGCCCGAACCCAAACAAGTGCACACCACAGTGGAACGAAACACAAAACGGTGCGGGACAGGCCGCGATCGGCACCAGCCGCGGCGAAAGGAAACGGGAAGCAACAAGCAGGCAACACCAGGGGCACAGGGCGAGGGAAAAAAGGAGGAGGAACAGGGGCGCCGCGGACGCGTCGGACACGGGGC